CCCAGTCAGGTATGAAAGAGTGCAGAAGGGCTGTCTATGCTGGAGATTGGAAGGATCTCACTGTGGCATCCTGTGTGAGTCCATAACAGGCTGAAGGGCTTCTGCTGGATAGAAGGCAGGAGCCAGTCTCCCAGATGAAGCTAAGGATTGGAGCTCCTCACAAGAAACAGAAGTGAGCCTCCCTGCTTTGTCTCCCCTTTCTACCATTCAAATAGTGGCACACTAGGGTGGGTCTTCTGTCTTCAGTAAATCCCGAGCCACACTGAGAACCACAGTGATCCAATATAGTTGGCAACTCAAGTTGGCACAAACAGTTAACTATCACAATTATCCATTGACTCCCAATTCTCCTGAAAGGAGATTTAGTTTTCTCACAATCCACTGTTTTCTTTCCTTTCCTTTCCTTTCCTTTTTTTTTTTTTTTTTTTTTTTTTTTTTCAGATAGGGTCTCACCATGTATCCAAAGCTGGCCTCAAACTAACTTTTAGCAGTCCTCCTACCTCAGTCTCCTTAATGCTGGGGTTACAAATATGCAGCATTGCACCCAGCTCCACTCAAGTTTTTCTCAACCTATTGCATTGTAGGAATTATAATATTATAATTTTTGGTTTAATCACTACTAAGTGCTTACACTAGGAACATTATTTAATAATTATTAAAGCTGAGTTACATGGTATCCTAGGATTTTTTTTAGACAGAGTCTTGCTATGCTGTCAAGTCTGGCCTTAAACTCACTATGCAGCCCAAACTCATTGACCCTCTTGCCTCAGCCTTTGGAGTGCTGGGATTATAGGCATGTGTCACTACGAAAAGCTACGAGTTTATTTTTAAAGTGCAGAAAAAAAATTATTTCTTTCTCTTTCTTTTTTTTCTTAATGTATTTGGTACAGGGTCTCACTATATATCTCAGACTCAAAGTGATCCTCCTGTTTTCAACCTCCTCAGTGCTGGAATTATAGGTGTACGCTACCACACCTGGTGGGGGCTGGCTCAGCAAGTGTAGGGGCGAGGCCAGCACTAGTGCAGCATGCAGTGCAAGGGATTGAACCCAGTCCCTGAACTTGCCTAAGCTTGCGCTTAGTCCACTGAGCTATCTTGACAGCCCTGCAAAATTTCTCTTATTAAAGCAACTTTTCTCCTGTGGTTGCTAATTGCTTAATTTTCCATTTGCTTTATTTCCCACATGCTTATTTTTAAGTCATTTCCAAATTCAATCAAAACTCTTCACACACTTCTTCATGCTATAAAATACATTGGGAAATTTATTGATCTTATTTTCTTGGAGATAATCAATCCTGGAGACTCCATTCTCCTGTCTCATTCTACACTGCTTACTTTTTAGGCCTGTTGCATAGTTATTTTCTTGGAATTTGTCTTTACCTCATCTGGGGTATTCCCCTTTCCTTTCTTCAGTGCTGATTCTTGGTCTTCACTCCTCTTACTTACTTTAATCCTTGTTTCTGGTGGAAAACACCTTCTTCTGAAATTTAAAGATAATGCCCCTCCACCCCAGTCACCCAGTATGACTATTAAAAAGTGCAATACCATTTTCTGTTCTCAGCTTGGTCTTTTATCTGTAGTCTGTTTTTTTATATGAAAGATGTAGATTTTTTTTATCTCATCTATTTAGACATTTTAGGATTAAGTGCTTCTGTGCGTCTCTTTTCATTCATACTGCAAGACACTCATTAGATCCTTTCAATCTGGAAACTCAGGTCTTTACATACTGTGAAAATGTCTTTCTTTGATAATTCTATCTTTCCCCACCTACCTTCCTTTTTTCTGTTTCTTTAGATCAGATGTTTGGTCTCCTGATTTGATCCTAAGTAATCTTTTTCTTTCATATTTTTAAATACATGCCTTTTATTCTTTCTTTTGAGTATCTCAGCTTCATTTTATCATCTTAAATTTAAAATTTGATTTTTTTAATTTACAAAAGTTCATTTTCCCTTCCATTTCCTTAGAAAAAAGCATCCTGCTTTCATGGGTAAAATCTCTTTTTTCTTTAGGGACGTCATCCACCATTCTCTTGGAATTTTCTTCTGTTCTTTCCTTTGGTTCTGGTTCATGTATTCATTTTCTTATTGCTGGGTCCAATTGATATAGGGGAAAGAATCTCCCCACTTGAAAGGTACCTGGAATGAGTTTGTGGTCTCTAAAACTGGATGAATTTTAGGAAAAACAAAGGTTAAGAACAAAATACATTTATTAGAAAAAGGAAAGCTTCTGTCGGAGAAAGAGGGACAGAAGAGGACTTGAGTGGGTTGCCATGGAACCTGTCTTTTCTAGGGATTTTATGGAGCAAAACCACGAGGTGAGGTGGGTCTAACGTGGGGAACTAGGGAACTCACAAGGCAGGCATGAGGTGGGACAAAATTATGGTTAACCAATAAGATTACAAGCACAATTGCTCAGGCAAAATTGATTAAATCGGGATCAAATGGGGAAGCAAGTTATAAGTACCAAGTGAGAAGGAATACACAACAGGCACTCTTCATGTAGGGGGTTGAGTTAGGGAATCTTCCTGGTCTTTTCAAGGTGATTGAAATCTATTTAGAATATCAGTTGCTGATGTCTATTCCTAGGGAGGTATGTGGCTGAATTTGTTTTATCTTTTGTCTTGAGGTCTGGCCCACAACAGGTGTCTGTGTCTTGAACATTTGCATGGTATCTCATCTTCTATACTGGGTCCTTTGAGGGCTTAGCCCTGACTGACTGTGTATAGTATTTCTATTTCAGCTGCCTACTGCAAAATTACCCAACATCTATAAATTAAGGGAGAGATTTATTTTCAATTTCCAATTTTTTAGCCCACTGTAAGCTGGCTCTAAGGCAGTGGCATCCTAGCAGAAAGGGTCGCGCGCGCGTGTGTGTGTGTGTGTGTGTGTGTGTGTACTGCTCACTTCATGATCACTGCAAAGCACAGCAAAGGCCAGGTCAGGGATCCAATGTAAACCTCCATGACCCATCCGGACACAACCAGAAACATGCTTTACTAGTTCCTGTGGGTGGCTTCCAAGACAATCAAACTGATAGTGCAGTTTAAATGTCATGGTCCCTCTTTGTTTTGATGTCTAATTTTTGTAACTGCAGGTTTACTCAAAAGTGTGGTGACCCCCAAATGTCTCTGCACATTTCAGAATGCAGTAAGACAGACAAGGAAGAAAGACCCTGTCTCAAAATAAAAAGGGCTGAGTGATAAGTGATAGCTTAGAGTTAAGGCCCTGGGTTCAATCTCCAGTATTAGGGGTAGGAGTGAAGTAGGATCAGGGAAGAATTAGAAAAGCTACTTGAATGGCTGGAATTTGTGGATGGGTAGATGTCATTTTGATGTGATTGGCAGGGGATCTGGTTATTTTGTAAGATCTTCCTAATAGTCCCCCCCCCCACACACACAAATTTTTCCTTGGACGAATCAATTTACCTAGAAAGAAATTCTCCAATATTCTCTTTGAGGGGCATGGATGTAGAGGACTTCTTACAGGAAGCAAATGATAGTCTCCAAGGTTCAATATGCAGAATTTCACTTATTCCCTTTACCTCAATGTGCAGCATATCTCTCAGTATTTAGTCGTCCCTTTGTTAAGCCGAAGGGAGGTTCTCTAGTTGGGTTTTACCAAAGAGTAAATCTTATTATGTTCAGATTGTAGAAAACCCTTACCCAGCAATGTGGTGGAAGAAGTAATCTGAGAATCTGGCCTACCTACCCATACTCTATGTACACTTTCCATCCAATAAATTATAGTGTATTGTTTTCAGCCTTGCTCTCATGACCTCGGGAATCCCTGGACCTTAGATTTCTGGTACTTTTGAATCTGTGTTTCAGTCTCTACTGGAGATTGAACTCCAGGTTTTCCCATGGAGTTTGGGGAGAGAAAGGATCTGAGTTCAATACTGTATGCAATGTTGACCAAATGCACCAGTCTCATTCCAATTGAACAAACTTTCCAAACTCTGCCCAAACCTTCTAATTCAGAATCTTTATGACTGAATATAGGAGTATTTTGAAAGGTCTTCACTTGACTCTGAGGATATCAACTACAGACTCCCTGGCCCACAGGTATCTTTCAAGGCAAAATAAACCAAGAGTAAAGGAATAAAGGAAATGACAGGTGAATCCCAAGAAAAAGATGGCTTAGAAAAGGACAGGTCTTGTGCAATTCAGAAACATTTTGAAAGGACACGACTTAATGAAGAATGTTGGTAGAAATATTTCTCAATGCAGAGCAGGCCAGGAAAGCAAGGGAGGGGTGGTTTGTGAGATTGTATTAATTGATCCCACATCTAGTTGGTGGGTAACATAGAAGTTTTCTTCTTTCAGCTGTACTTTATATTTCTTCTCTTTTCTTATTTTCCTTATATAGATTTGTTAAGGAAGCCACACAGCCATTTTAAAATTTGGAAAGGAAAAAAAAGTCAAAAAGAAAGCTTCACACAAATATGATCGTTAATAATAATATTCATTCAAGAGAACAGTTTTCAAAATGAAATGAACTTAGATCTGCTGAAAAAAGATACTGCAGCATGTATAAAAACCTGTGCTTTTTGTACTTCACACCACACCCCCATATTCAAGGAGTGGCATATAAAAGTGGCTAGGTGTGAGTTGTGGGTTAGACAGCAGAGTTAGAATCAAAGCAGAATGGAGGAAAAGAACACATTAAGGAAGAGGGAGGCAAGAAAGGAACTACTGACCTAAAGCCCAGATTCCTCTTGAAGCCAAGAAATACTTTTAAAGACATGGGAGGGGAGAGATGGGATAAGGAATGGACATCACTGACCAAAAAAATAAAGAACTTTAAAAATACTTTTTCCACCTGGGAGATACCTCAGCAGCTTAAGTGTCTGCCTTGTAAGTGCACAGTCTTGAGTTCAATCCCTGATACTAAAATAAATAATCCACTAATCATTTAATTTTATATCAACATTATTGACTTCATTTGTCCAGGTAAGTAATGTTATTAAAACAAACAAAATTTAGTATTGGAGAAAATACAGACTAAAAACTTATTTGCATACATTCATATAGTACTGTGATATTTCAAAAGTCATGGTGGTAGCACTTGGAATAGAGCTAAATTTCAGTGAAAGAAGGTATTAAACTGTACATATGCTAACAGCTTTGAGATACATATTCCTTCAGGTTTTGTGGGAATGGTATTTTATAAAGCCCGTGGATCATCTAGACAGAAAATTATTTTCTTCCATATTCTCCCATTTATAAGACATAAGGAAAATTTTACAGTATTTTTAGAAGCAGCTGAAAAAGCCATTTATTACATGTGTTGTTGTACAAAGTGATAATTATAAGAGAAAAAATTTAAAGGGTGTGCTATAATTTTTATCTGATATCTGAATAGACGTTTTTGCCACATTCATTTACTTCAAGTACTTCCACACAAAATTGGATTCCCCAGGATGCCTGGCGCATGAAAGACAATTTAAGTATCTTGAGTTTAGAACTGAGTAGCTGTTGATGAAACAGAAAGATTCTGTTTTCAGATAGTGGGTTTCTTATTCATGAGCATGTGCACACACTCCAGTACATCAAACACTTTTATTTTTTTCCTTGAGACAGGGTCTGGCTATGCTGTTCAGGCTGTCCTTGAACTCATTTTGTATCCAACATTGGCCTCCAATTAGCAGTAATCCTCCTGGGACAGCCTACTGAGTGGTGGGATTACAGGCACACTCCACCACACCCAGCTAAAACACTTGTTTTCACCATATCTTTACATAAAGCTATTTTCTGCAAATATGTAACAGCTAATTTACCCACCAGAGATTTAGATTCTCTTGAGAAAGGTCAGGAAACCCTAAGGTTCTCAGGAAAGTTAAGCCATGGTGAAGCAGCATTCAAAGCTATGCTTGGCTTCTCAAACAATTTAAGGTACAAATTTTCCCTGATATCCCTTATATGACATGTAATACAAATGTTATTGTCTGGAACAGATTAACATATTTTAAGGAGTATATTCTCAGAGGTTTACATTGTATATAAAAGTACATATTTCACTTTATTTCTGATTCTATTAATATCTACTTGTAGTTCCATGATAAGGTATCAGCTAACGTGAGATCATTTTAGAGAACAAATAAAAAACTAAAAAAGAGATTACCTTAACTTCATTGTCTCAATATTTGGGGCATAAGCATTGTTGGGGATATATAATTAATAAATTTACAGCATAATCTTCCAACCAAGAAACTCTCTTCAAAAGGTAGAAGAAAATACTTTTATCATCTCATGGGCATTAAAGTAGAATTGTACACAGCACAGGCAGTTTGCTAGGACATTGTGTAGACAGAAACTTTATACAGGAGAGCAGAAACAGCCCATCTCGTACATATTTTCAAGATAAACAGTCCTCAAGTAAGAGAACTTGACAGGGCATCGAGCTGGGGGACATCAACCTTCTCAGTTAGCCAATTAACTTTACCAGAAGAAAAACAAACTTCCTTTGTCTGTGTAAGTAGTAGGCAGTTCTGCTATTTAGAGCACAGCATACTCTAAAATTAGACACCTACCATGAGACTGGGGACAAAGGGAAGAGAGAAGAGAGAGAATAGTTTTGCAGGTTTTGACAAAGACATTCCTGGATCATAAATAGAAAAAAGATCTAGCTAGTGTTCAAGAGGGTCTCGTACACTTCAAAGAGGTAGAAAGTACTTAATAATTGCTTGTTAAAGGCAAAAATCTTCTGAGAAGAAGAAGAAAGCTCTATTCACTGTCAAAGGGAGAATTGTCTTTTTTAAAAAACATTTTTCTCCTTACAGTATGTTTTGGTTTCTCAGTCTTTGAAATAACAAAAAAGTCCAACTTAAAATTTATGTTTTTCTATGGGTAGAGGCTGTCCACTATGGTCAAATATATAAGCCTGGATAGAAAAAAAATTTTTTTTGGCTCCCTCGTAAGTCAAAAGGTTTTGAGGGGGAGGGTGGACACTGATTTGACAATATACTCCAGTCAAAAAATTTAGTTGAACTCATGTATAGAATACGATGCCTTAAAAAGTCTGCTAATGAAACTTGGGAAGGTCAGCCTTCAACGAGGAGTCACATGTTATAGATCACCTAGTACATTCAGTTCACATTACCTATTTTCCACCCAGTTCTTTTAGTGAAGGTCTCTTCAGGAACGGCTTTGGGTGGAAATGCAGTTATCATTTTGGGTTCTTTACGTATCTATTTTTTTTCCCCTGGTGGTACTGCAATTGAACCCATGGAGTTCAGAGCTTAGTCGCCAGCACCCACACCCTCCCTGGTTTTCAGAGACAAGGGTCTCCCGAAGTTGCTCAGGCTGGACTCGGATTTGCAATCCTCTGGCCTCGCGTCTCAGAGTGCAGGGACGACAGGGAGAGCCACCACGCTGGGACAGGACTTCTCCCGGGATCCGATGCTAGGAGCCGCCCTACACTTCAGTACGACACCCACGGCGGCTCAGTACTGCGACTCTCTTACTCTCAGGCACTGGACACTGGAGTGATTCACAAGTCATTGGAAAAGATACAAATCAGCTTACGGGAATCCGCGTTACAACCCGCGCAACTAAAACGCGGGAACCGGCGGGCAGAAGGCGGCCGAGGGCGCCGGGAAGGGTGAGGGGGCCCGGGTTCGCAGGGCTGCGGCTCCCGGGACCGCCCGCGCATTTCCCTCACGCCGCCCCCCAATTCCTCGCCCGCCGCCGCCAGCCCGCCCGCCCGCGGGGTCGCCCCTTCCCGGCGGCCCCTGCTTATCACCCAGGCCCCGGGAAGTGGCCGCGGCCAGGCGAGCCTCCGAAGTTTCCTGTGACGCCACCGTCGCCTCCGGCCCCATCCCGCCGAGGCAGCCCAGGACACAGCCTGCGGAGCACAGGCTGACCGTGGCGGGTGCGGAACCCCGCTCGGCGCGGAGCCGGCCGGGACAACTGCGGCCGCGCTCTACGGCCCCGCGTTCCGCGGCCGCAACCCAGCGCGCCCACCGGGCCTCCAGCCGAGCGCCGCCCCTCCGAGCCCAGACCCGGGCCGCGCCCCGCCCCCTGGGAGGTGGGAGAGGAGGGGGCCGCGGCCGGCCGCAGCGCCCGCCTCCCGTTCCTGCCTATTGGCTGAAGCCTCGAGGGTGCCCGGAGACCGGGGTGTAGCGGGATTGGCCGCGGCGCTGGCTGACAGCGGCGTCTATTGGTCGAGACGGGTACCCGTGACGCGGGGTGGCGACTGGCTCCAGTGTCTGAGGGGCTCCTGCTTGTCAGGTTCTAGGTAGGTACGTTCCGCGCCGCCGGCGGTAGGCGCTGTTGCCCGGGGCAACGCCAGGGGACGGGGGAAGAGGAGAGAAGGCCAACGCGGAGCGGGGGCAACCATCCCTGCCCGTATGGAGGCGCCAGGGTTCGGCCCTGGCGGCGAGGGCTGCGCGCGGGGCTCTTCCTCCGCCCTCAGCCACCTCTCATCCCCGCCCCGGGCTGCAGGGTCCCCTGCCCACCCTCTTGTCTGCGGCGGCACATTCTTGGTTCGGCTCGGAACGGGCTGCACACCCGGTCCCGGGAGGCCCGCCCCTCCCACCAGTCTGGGACCGAGAAGCTGAGGGGCCGGTGCCGGCGCGA